AACTGATATATCACCCTAATATAAGAACTTGCAGGTAGGGGGCGCCGGCGGAAACAACTTGGCCTGTGAATACACACGAGACAAGTAACGAGATGTTTAATTGAAAGCACAACCTCACCTTATTCCCTATTGTCGTCACATTCTCATGATGACATTATATAGGCTCCTCCAGGCATCAGGGACATTCGACCCCCGGAATTTTCCATTCTCACAATACCTTGTTAGGGAAACTATTGGGACGTCTGTAATTAAGACTGTCTGGGATAACTGCTGCAATAAAAAAACATGTACGAATACACGAAGTAGATGATTCTTGCTTACCTTGGTACATATACAACCCATCAAATGTTTAGACTCACTTGTGTAAATGTAGCCCCTTCAGTCAACTGTTCTAAACTTGATTTTGCAAAATATGTCATACTTTTTAAAGGTACTGCTTGCACATTAACCGATGTATTGTAAAACACATTTGTGTCAATAAATGATGAAACTCATTGGAAATTGGCAAATTATTAACAAAACGTTACACCAAAACGCAGCTGTTCACATGCACGATATTTGCACATGCTTTTCAGCAAATTGCTGCATAATTTTCGTGCAATTCATCTGCATAAGGTTTGCAGTTGGTTCCCCCAAGTTAGTAGACGATATATATATATATATATATATATATATATATATATATATATATATATAGAGAGAGAGAGAGAGAGAGAGAGATATAGATATACACATAACATATAGTGAGTGTTTGAAGTGAGTCTAAACCTTTGATGGGAAGTATATATTGTAAAATGTGGTAAAATATTGATTGTATCTTCTAAATACAGCAGCACACACGATGCGCTGTAGTTATTTATCAATTTATCTGTATTACAAATAATTCTGTGAGCAGTTGGGACAAGTGTTATAAATGTTATATTTGGGATTACCCTTTCTCAGTAAAATGCCACGTACTTTGGGTACTCCTCTGTTATTCCAGTATCTGGAGCACCGCTTTGTCTGTTATCATAGACAGAAAACAGTGCCACTGTGGGGGTTCTCCCCTTGAGTGTCACCTCTGCTGGTACACAAATTACACCTTCCTGTTTGAGGTAATGGCGAAATAACGAATTGAGTGTTTTAAGTACCAAGGTTCACTCTTGAGTGGCATTTCTGCCCGTTCCTAAACACAGAGAAGAATACAACATGCATTGTAAGGGTTGAACAAGGCGAAATGACAAGTAGCGTTTGTTTATAAGTAGCAATTACTAGGAAAGAACTGTCGAACTGTCAAATCTTTTTGTCAATTGAAAACACAGCAGAAGATATTCGACTGTTATTTGCCGATTTAAGGCGGGAAACATGTTTCTATCCTGCAATACGCTGTGTAGCACGTCCAATACATGCTTTACACGTCTCCGGAAATAAGGAAGGAATATAATGCAGATAGTACTACTTTTTGGGGTCGAGTCCTGTCCCGGATTCGAACCAACACTTTCAGGGTAAGGCACGTAGTCGTCAGCACAGAAAGTAAGACCCACTCCGGCACTGCGGTTAATTAGGAGCTGTCATAGTTAATGGAGTCAACACAGACCTAACTGAAAAAAATGGCTCTCCTCAACGCCTCCACGATCGTAACTTATGAATCACCATGTACAAAGAACAGGTCATGTCCCAACTTGGATTGCTTAACGCCTCCGGGCAGAATAAGTCCTTATCACTGGAAGCTGGCTGATGTAGACACTTGCATTTTCTCAAGTATTGTCGGGATAAAATATTTTCGGACAATATGATCACTTTGCCTATTCCTTGAAGTATGATGTGTAGAATTGTTTGTTTATTATGCTCAGTCAAAAACTACACCGATTATTTATCGGTAATCAGGCTGATTGTCAGACTCGATGACTGAACATGCCACCTTGATTTACCTAAAATATTGCATCCACACCATAAAACAAAACAAAACTTGTGCAGAGCCCAGAATGCGTAGATATAGAATATATAGATATGGGATCATCAGTCATACTATTGTCTCTCCAATATTCCGAGAAAATATTTCACGCATTATTGCCACAGCAGAAACATCAGTACACATGTACCCAAATCTGTAAGCATACATTTACAATACACAACGTCAAGACGTTACCACTAAGATTGTGTGGTCGTTTGTTATAAACAGCAGTGTTTTATTGGATGAGAAAGACACTACCAAACAGAATTAAGATAATGGGCCTGGTCCTTCTATAATGTTCCCTGTTAAGGCGCTTCAATAGTTGATTTTTCTTCCACGCGACACAGGTCAATTTGGATGAGCGATTATGTAACGGAAAATCAGAGACACGTCAGGCTCAAGTGATAAGTTGTCTCGTAATACACTATATCAAAGCAAACGGCTTCCCCGTCGCTGTTTCCGATGAAAACAGAATCACATGCCTTGCCTTGTTGAATAGAGACAGATCACATGGGATGTGAGTTGTGCTATTGGAGTTGATCAGAAGACATGGAATGAATCCATGAACAGACACCGACCAGTGTGTCTGATCTCTTCTCATCCCCCCCACCTCTCTCTCGTAATGATCAGACAGATTACGTTCAAATGCAGAGAATGAGTCTGTGCTGATTAATGTTGGAATACTGGTTTCACTTTTAGTTATAAACATACTTCTAAACAGATACCAATTTCAGTTCCAGTACAAACATATATGTAAACAGATAGTCGCTTTACTTCAAGAACAGACATATTCAACACAGATACCCATTTCACTTCTATAAGAAACATACTTCAACACAGATACTCATTTCACTTCTAGTACGACCATACTTCATCACAGATACCCTTTCCACTTCTAGGAGAAACATACTTCAACACAGATGCCCATTTCAATTCCAGTACAGACATAAATCCTCACGTATACTCGTTTCACAGCTGTTTTCTTACTCTCAGTACACACAGCAACTAGTCTCGATTCTCAGTGAACGTTTACCTCAACACTGCATGATCCACTAAAACAACAAGACGGTTATAGTGGACATCAGTCACACTGTACGACACAGCCGTGATTGCAGGTGTTGAAATGGAGAGAAGCCATTATATTTTGATGCATTCAACCTCCAACGTGAAGACTTTTGACGTCACTGAAAAGGGTCGGGCACATATTGCATACTTGCGGTGACATATCATTAGTGAGAAAGGAAGAGGACATTTTGATCCGGCTATTGTCTTCATCAGAACAGATGTGAAACTCTACATTACTCACATACAACAGTCGAGCCTATCATCCATCTTTTAGCAACAAGGCCAACAACTACAACATACCCTTTCCCTGCCCTTCGACCAAAGGCTAAGGATATAGTTTGATCCCAGCAAAATAATACATAAATATATTAGCGTTTGTTTTGTGACAACTGCATCTAATTTCACATGTGGCTTTTGGAAACCTTTTAGCAAACAGACACAGTGTAATGTAGAAAATGACTATTGTGTAAACAATCTGTTTTTCATAACATGATGCCTTTTGATGTGATCCTTTCCACTATGGATATTCAGTCAAACTGAAATCATTGATCATCTTGCATTTAACATACATCTCGACGTTATGTGCTTATCAGCTTCCATTAAGCCATGATATCAGAATCTCTGAAAGAAGCTAACGATGTTACACCCGTTCTGGCTGTGGAGGAGAGGCGATCCGACACAAGTCTATCTTCAAATTGAGTTATCGCTATTGCGTTTTTACACTAGAGGACACATTTGTGTTGATGCATTGACGCTTACTTACGTGAAATGACTAGAGAATATTATCTGTGAATTACACTAAAATCACAAGTTGTAGGAACTTTTTACATATTCTGGACACATAATGTGTGTTTAATCGAGTTATTATTATAAAAGAAATTCCTAATAATGATTAATGCAGTAATGAACATAAGAATACTTGTATGTGTAACATGTTTATTGTGATTATTTCATCCCTGACAATTGTAAATACTCGTTCAGTCTCGAGTTGTCTTCCACAGAAAAAGAGAAGAAGTTCCTTGTTTTCGAGGGTTGCCTATTGGAACTATTCACCTCATGTCCTGCATGTAAATTGCCCACATCAGTGAAATAGACCTGTGTTGGAACTTTTTTATCCATTCATCAATACTGTCAATATTGCTCTTTCTCCCGTCGTTGGGGTAGTCAACCCTACATAGAGAACATTCCAGCTGGGAACATTCTGCTGTCTGCTTCAATCTTATATTCTGGATCTCTCCCAAGAAAGTCACTCCTAATGCTGCAGTACCTTGGTATGTCTTCAGTCAGTGTTAGGACTTTCTTCCAACATCAGAGGACCCTGTTACACCCAGTGATTGAGAGTGTATGGAAAGAAGAACAGAGGATGATTCTACATGAAATTCGATTCACAGAGGAACCTCTCGTCCTGGGTGGAGATGGAAGGGTAGACACTCTAGGCCACAATGCTAAGTTTGGCTCCTACACCCTGATGGAACTGGGTAGCAGCAAAGTTGTACATGTAGAACTAGTGCAGGTATAGTTTATGTCATTTTCTTGTTATTGTTCATGCACAAAAGAACAATTATAACAAATAGGTATCATTGGAAATTTAATCTCAAGTGAAGTAAAGTGTAAAAGATAATCATTAACTGCTTACACACACACACACTGGGTCACAAAATAGTTATCTTGTGGTTGAAAGTGGAATTTTACCCTTCCTTGACTAAGCTATCGGTGTTAGGATGAATAAAGAAAATGACGTACAATGAGGAATTTGTATATTCATGACATCCGCGTATAATGTTCAATATAATAGTGCAACAAGGGTTTATCATGTGTGTAATATCTATACAAGATGTCTTAACTTTCTTCAGAGCAATGAGGTGAAAAACTCCAACGCCATGGAAAAAGAGGGCCTGGCTCGTAGTGTTCACTTCCTCAGAGAAGAAAAGATGAACATCCATACCATGGTGACAGACCGACACCTCCAAATTCAGAAGTGGATTCGAGAAGGGATGCATGATACTGTACACCACCATGATGTCTGGCATGTGGCTAAAGGTACATTGAAATTATGAACAATACAAACTGGGGTTTGCTTTTTGATTATGATTATCATGGATCATTTATTCACCAGGTTTCTTTTGTAATTTGTAATGATTATTTACCATTTGTTCATTGCTAAAGGTATAAACGTTTCTGCACTTTACTTTTATGTTTCTTGTACAGGAAGTAATTGTGTTTTTTTAATCATAAATAATCATTGAAATTATGAGCTATTTTTTTTTTAAATCAGGTTTGCGAAAGAAGATGGAGGCCTTGGCAAAAGAGAAAGACTGCAGCATAGTTGGCAGATGGGTCCGCAGTATCTGCAATCACCTCTATGGGGCCGCAGCATCCACTCCTGATGGGAACGGAGACGTCATCAGAGACAAATGGTTATCTGTAGTAAACCACATGCAGAATATTCATCACGGCCATGGGAAACACTTCCCCAACTGTCTACATCCAGATCTAGGCCAAGATGACCAGAAGAGAAAATGGTTGAAGTCAGGTATGGCAGAAATATATACTGCACATGACAAAATCATTTTGACAATTGATACTAAGCTATATAACTTTGATATTCAATTTGGAAGCGTTCTCTTTTAGAATGGATCTTTTATTCTGTTATATTCTATTATGCGATCAAAATTGTTAATGGATAAAAAATTGTATTTCACAGGATCCAAGGCCTGTGAAAAGCTCAGTCAACTCCTTGAGCAGCCTCGTCTTTTGCGCGATGTACAGAAACTCTCCCCAGGCTACCAGACATCCAAAATCGAAGCCTATCACAGTATGGCCAATCATTTTGCACCGAAGATGATTGGCTTCTCTAATCTTGGCATGCAGTCCAGGTATTATGTGACAAAATAGCATTGACTGGTCAATTTACCATCAAATCCTGTTGTGTTCCAAACAAATGACACATTTTTACCTGACATCTTGAAACCAGATGCGAAAAACTCTTCCGTTGATTATATTCCTTTCATAAATATGTTTCACTGATAGTCATAAATATAACTGACATGTATGAATGCGACAGATATAAATATATTTCAATTTTTTGTCCAGATTGTATCTTGGCTCCATGGACTTCAATGAGAATGGGTCCAGGCAACAAGCATTTAGCAAAGCCGGAAAACCACAGGTATCGGTGTCCTATTCCAAGTACAAGAAGAGACAGTCAGTGATCCATCTTGTCAAGACAGCGAGGACCTATGGTATGTCTGATTGTGTACAATACTCAAGCTACAATGTCGATCCTAAGACTTTCACAAGCTATTGATCAAAATTACTGGATAATTTTGCATGTGCCATTACCTATTGGTAGAAACTCTGAAAGTGTGCAACGTTACTGTTTGATCTAGTTCTCTGTGTTAGCAAAACCTACACTTTTGACCCCACAAAAGGTCCATGATTTTGCTCAAGGTCTTAAAATTTTCATTAACGCTTATGAAAATTACATTTTTTCACAAGTGTCTTATTTCATTGCAGTCATATCCTAAATTGCACATTGTTGTCATATTGTATTTTGAATTGTAGATTATGTGGATCGCCTTTTATCAAGAACCTGCCAGGAGGTTGGCAACGACCAAAAGAACTGCTGCACACAGAACCTAATTCCAGCACCCCTCACACACACATTCAAGAGATTAACTAAGGAAGATGCCATTGCCAGACACAAGACACGTTTCAGCAGATAGACTCTCATGCCATAAATGAAACAAAGTGACAGACATTGAAAAATAGACATTCTTTTATTTTGTCAATATGCATGATATAGTACAGTGTTACTATCCTAAAGTTATTTATACATTAATGTTTGCAATATGTATGTCTAGCATAATTTGTATATATATGTACATTATGTATTTATGACGTTTGATGGTGATGTAACCCCCAAAGAAACTGAATAAAAAGAACCCTGATACAGTACAATAACATAATACTCCACATACACTATAAAATTATTAAACTTGGTAAAAATAAATTGTAAATATTACATTCACTGAATTGGAGTGGGAAAAGCTAAATATTTTATTCTTGCCACAAAGTCATTGTCTGTCATTACTCTAAAGATGGATACTTGAAGCCACAAAATTCTTCTGATGGAAATTCCGTTCTTCTGTCTCTAACTGCACATGCAGGAAGTAGCACTCTCACTTTCCTTCCGAGGTATCCACAACACCATCTCACAAACGGTCGGTAGCCTGTGTGTCTGTATCGCCTGAGAGCAAAAATAATGTAATCATAATTATTATTTTACAGTGTTGATATAAATCAGAATTCAATCAATTGAAGATACAATCTACTGAATTAGCTTTACTTCTGTACATATTTATTCACATTACCTGTTGACAGCTTGATCAGCCACATCTACCTCTCCATACTGCTGTACTGGAGATCTGTACTGGAAGTATGCTGTCTGCAGCACCCATCTGTTACAGCACACCCCAGCAAAGCCAGGGTGTTGAGTGATGCAGTTTACTGGTGGCAGGCCTTCTCTCTCCACTTCTTTAATCTTGGCCTCAATTGTAGGGTTCTCCTGACAGCAGCTACACTCTTCTGCAGTTGGGTGTGCAATACACTGTCCACACTTGCACCTAAAAATATTTAAAAGCATCAATGCATATAATTCTAAAACAAAGCTCCATTCATCAATTACCATTCCTAATTAAACTACATATTGTCCAAGATATTTTTTTATGGATTAAATTTTCTTTTTTGATTTATTTCCATTTTATAAATATAAAATAAGTTTAATCCATAAAATACAATGTACAATTTCTAATTGCCACTGAAACTACATATTGTTACAATTTCACTTAGTTCTGTAGATCTGCTACATTTTTGCTGACTAATATACCTACTTAAAAGCCAACAAATTGAAAATAGGTTAACGTGACCATTCTTTAATTGGGGGACTGTCTAAATAATCATGGATGTAGTTCGGTTGGTAGGGTGTCCGCTCATCACCCAGAAGAACAGGGTTCGATTCCCGCCGGCGTCCTAACAAGAACATTAAAAGATGGGAGTTGTTGCTTCCTTGCTTGGTGCTAAGCTAATATAAGGTTACACTCAGCTGGCGCTACACTGCGGTTGTAAAGTGTGCCTCCAATGCACACACAAAAATAATTTCATTGTACTCAATGATAATAATGAATTCTTCTTCTTATTATTATTATTCACAAGTTTTTAATGTCAAATGCTGGACTAGTGTTTCTATTCAAGATTAATAACTAACATTAAAAAATACATTTATATGAAGTCTCTAATTTGAAATAAAGTAGAAAAGCATTGATACGAAAATCTAGTAGGTCAATACAAACCATTCAGTGTTTTCTGTGCGCCTGTTATCCATATACCCTAAACCAGGATTCTCCGGGGTTCCCTCACTGTCACTTTCATCTGTTACTGGTTCAAACATGTAGGGGTCTACTTGGGTGTTGCTGTCAACTTCCTCCTCGGTTGAGTGTCCATCTTCTGAAAAGAATTCACATTCCATATCTAAAGCCATGTTTGGTGAACTCGAATCACTGTCTGAACCCGACATCTTGATCTTATTTGACAATTAGAAATTCTGACAATGCTAAATAATGACGTTGCTGTAAGAATCGAACTGAGAAAGTGACTCGGTAACAAGTACGTGTGGTGAAATAGTCAAATGAAATTATAAAAACAGTTAAATCGGTAATCTACTGTCATAACATATTAAAAGCTCGCGCCTGAGAAATATCAACAAAACATTAGAAAAATAGCTCACATCAAAGCCTCCCGACTACGAGTACTCACCCGGTCACCGCCAAGAAAGGCTGTCCGTCTTGAAATGTCGAACGCCTCACTGGTTGACACATAGCTGTGTAGATCTAGATCCGGGATCCTTACAAGGTTCTTTTATGTAACGAATAGATTATTAACTATTTATTTGTGTACACAACCAGGATTAGACTACTCCTGCTCACGACCTTATGATCCGGGCATACACCCTGTTTCAAGCTCAGCGAACCTATTCAGTGCGCATGCGTCAGGAGCGCAGCGCAGCCAAGCTGTTGAAACCCGTTTTCTCCCCGAAAAGTCGGGGGAAAATAAGTGAATCGTTTGAACTCCGATTTCGCGCGGTTTTTTTCATCGCGTTATTTTTCAACTTTATAAGTTGAATTTGCATTTTTCATGATTTTTTTCGGTAAGTCCATACCGAAATGTATCAGAATCTGCAAAGTTGTGTTTATGTTGCATGTGACCTTTAAGGTACTGAATGTACAGTTTACGTTTTAATGTCGAGTGAGTGAGTGAGTTAATATTTAACGTCACTTCGGCAGTATTTCAGCCATATCGTGACGGGAACAATCTATAAACTAAACCACATTAAATTATACCATATAAAACTTGTGGTCGAAGGACAGTAAAAATAAAGAATATCACAGATGTGGTTTAAAACTTGTATGGTGTAATAAAATCTATTACTGCAGAAAACAGTACAAAATACAAACAGTCTAATGATCGCCAACAACTGAAGGTAGATCACCATACCAGGGCCTTTAATGTCGAAATGTTACGTTGTTTGTCATCCTGACCGTAAAGATCCCAAGAAAGTTGTACTTTCCACACGGCCAGAGAGATAAGATGATCATGCCCCGTGAATAGGTATTTACAGACTGATGTGTGTCTGTGTGTGTTATGGCTGGAAACAGAATTCATTGGGTTTAAAAAGCAAAATCACAAATATATCTGTGTGCATGGATCACCGAAAATCATGACAACAAACACCTTTAACACAGATACCCTTTTCACTTCTAGGAGAAACATACTTCAACATAGATACCCTTTTCTCTCTAGGAGAAACATACTTCAACATAGATACCCTTTTCTCTCTAGGAGAAACATACTTCAACATAGATACCCTTTTCACTTCTAGGAGAAACATACTTTAACACAGATACCCTTTTCACTTCTAGGAGAAACATACTTCAACACAGATACCCTTTTCACTTCTAGGAGAAACATACTTCAACATAGATACCCTTTTCACTTCTAGGAGAAACATACTTCAACATAGATACCCTTTTCACATACTTCAACATAGATACCCTTTTCACTTCTAGGAGAAACATACTTCAACATAGATACCCTTTTCACTTCTAGGAGAAACATACTTCAACATAGATACCCTTTTCACTTCTAGTGCGACCATACTTCAACATGGATACCCTTTTCACTTCTAGGAGAAACATACTTCAACATGGATACCCTTTTCACTTCTAGGAGAAACATACTTCAACATAGATACCCTTTTCACTTCTAGTGCGACCATACTTCAACACAGATACCCTTTTGACAATGATAGATGTTTTAGTTAGCTAACGAAGCAAATTCAGATCTGCTGTCAATATCGGCAATTGATCCCCGAGAAACTGTATTTGTGACGAAGAGGAAATGAAGATCTGGTCACTTAGGGCACCATGTCGTGTTTGTGATTCTTACATGTAAGTGTGCCAGTATTCAGTGGTAGGATTGGTTTATTACCTCATTAAACAGTGGACGATGCAGAGAGGAAACACATTCAGACATTTTACACACCAAAGGTAGGCATCTGTATGTATCCAAGAGCATTTAATTTAAATCAGTTTCAGTTTCGACATGAAAATCACGTTTTTTCACGAGTCAGTATATATGAAACGTCAACGGCACTGCATCCAAACATCCATTGTGTTATCTTCGGAAACAGACTTTAGTATAAATGGCAGGTACCTCTGTGCATGGATCACCGAATATTATTGACGACACGCGCCTTTAAAAGTCTTACATCGTTTTACATGACAATAAACGGTGTAAACTAATAACACTGGTGATCCTAATCAATCAAATCACTGGAGAATTATGTCGAGTGTTTAAGTGTTCTCCTTCTACTGTGAATGCCCCTACTTTCAACGCTCGTATTCTGAAAGCCAAGAGTGATATGAGGATTTCAGACAAAATATCCCCAAGAGTGAGAAGTGATGAGAATTCTAATGGAGACGTTACAATCAATACAACTTTTGTATCGAAAGTAAAGGAGTTCTAGTTAATAACGAGCGTAGTATGTTACCCTAACTCTGAAGTTGATAACTTCCCTTAAGCTAACGAGCGTTCAGCAAGTTGTTATGTTATCAAGTGTCATAATTTTTGTACAGTGATATAATATTTTAAAGTCGTGAACAAAGAATCCGGTGACGTCAAACCACAAATGCTGCAGGACGTTCTTGAGCTGAATGCACACGTTCCTTTTTGATAAAGCGCTAACATGAAAGCAATCAATTAATTTCCAGTCGATGATATTCACTGTCCTCAAAACAAAAAACAGGTTTTGCACATTATTGCCAACAGCTCGGCATTATGTAGGATTGAGTGACTGAGTGTGGCTTTGTATCGCTTTTAGCAATCTACCGGCAATATCACGATGGCGGACACCAGAAATGGGCTTCACACATTGTACCCATGTCGGGAATCGAACCCGGGACTTTGGCGAGACGACCGAACGCTTTAAACTAGGCTACCCCGCCGCCCCTTGATATCGGTACAGATAATTCGATAAGCTAAATGTAACCCTGTCAGGAAAGGGTAACGTAAAATTCTATTATATAGATAAAATATAGAACGGTTTAGTAAAGTTGTGTAACTGGTCTGAGTTAGAGTTACGCGATAGATGTTATTTTACACCACAAAATATTTTCACGGTGTTATCAAGTCTCTGTTTCTAGTGACTTCCTGTTTGTCTCTTCACACCTGTCAGTGAAAATAAAATGCGTCCACAAGTCTGTTCATTTACGATGGGGGCGTAGTCTAGTGTTTAAAGCGTTGGCTCGTCACGCTGAAGACCCGGGTTCGAATCCCCACATGGGTACAATGAGTGAAGCCCATTTCTGGTGTCCCCCGCGGTGATGTTGCGGGAATATTGCTAAAAGCGGCGTAAAACCAAACTCAGTCAGTCAGTCATTTACGATGATAATAGCCTCTTTCATCACATTGTTTCCGACATCTTTCTATAATTAAGACTTTTTCCATGATGTCTAATGGGCGAAGGTGTTATCGTTTTTATGTTATTCAAATTTCATACATCCATGGATAAAATTAACCCTGCACATATTATTTACAACAATAGATAAAATACTTATTACCAGCTGATCACTAGTTCTGTAGAACTAACTGAGACAAGCATCTTGACGACATATTATGACATATTCTTCAGTTCATTATGTGGTAGAGAAACGACCTGTAAGAACATATAATGCACTGGAAATGATTTTATGTATGTGTTTGTTGCCTAACGCTGCACTCAGCAATATTCCAGCTATGTGACGGCGGTGTATACATAATTGAGTCTGGGCCAGACAAGCCAGTGATTAACATTATGATCATTGAAAATGTGCAACCAAGTCAGCGAGCCTGACCACTCGATTCCATCTGTCACGGCGTTTAGAAGCATGGGTTGCTGAAGTTCTAACCCGGATTTACCAAAGAAATGTAATAACTTTGTCACTGGCAAACAAGGATAAGTTGAGCACCGACCTGCAAATAGACCCGTATGAGTGCCGCCCACTCCCACTTGCCATTGTTATGATACATCATAACATAATATCACATGTCAAAGGTTGATAAATCATTGGATCAACTGAACTGAAGACAATAATTGTTTTATTGTATGACAAAAGTACTGAACATCTGTTCTTCCGTGATAATAGGAGAGTCTCAATATAAGCTGGAATAGGCTTACATCTTTCAGAGGCAGTATTAGTAAATGAAATCATTTTTTTAAAATTCAAATTGTTTATTATCACAATCATTTAGATATCTTTCAACAGTCAATAACATTTCAACATTATTACAACATCACAGTTCAAATATTTCAAGTCAGTTTGTGACTCAATTTCACCAGGCAATAACATTTCATCAATTTCAATTTCAAACTTTTAAAAGTGACTTTATGACTCTGTTAAACACTAGTAAACAGCATAACAGTAAGGAAGAAACATTAACAAGAGTGAGCACATTTTGAGTTCACTATTTACTTGTTATAAGTGAAGTTATTAGTAACATTTGTGCAGTTGTTTAATACGGGAAATGGCAGACTTCTGTGTTGAAAAATTGTATGATATATTTGCCATGTACTTGGCTTGTAAACAACTTGTTTTGGTCCAAGGGGGCAAGTAATATTCTCATGGGCAAGTGATTTCATGACATCATCGAATTCTTCATCAAATTGCAAATCGAGATCAGCCATAAGAGACTTCTCCTGTGATCTAGTTAGAGGCGTGACCTCAGCATCAGGAAACAGTTCTCTAAGTCCGTCTGTGTGACTAGTAACAGTGCTGCTTGCCTTTCTCTTGGTTCTACATTGCCCTCCACAACTTACATAAGTTGAAATAACATCAGATATGTTCTCCTTTATTTTGGGATCTGTAAAACCAGTGTAGGTTTTCAAACTAGCTTCAGATTTATGTCCCATGACAGTCATGATATGGCGTCCTGCAAACTCTCAAGTGGAATCTAACACATGAACAGCCGTTGCCTGGAGTGAGTGGTTAGTGTAGCGCCTAAACAAACCTGCAGGGATAGAAATACTCTTTTC